TCATTAATCAAGTGCGTCCAGTCGGCATATTGACAATGTCGGCAACTCGCAACTAAATTTAAATGCATCCGTCCGTTCGTTATAATTAATTTCCATAACAAAATTTACGTTAATTGTATGGAAAAATAGCAAAATGAATTCACATTTAAATGTAAATAATTAATTGTGTCATTATGCATTCGGCTCCAGACAATAAATGCAATTAAGAGCGACTGATTGAAAAACAAAACTATAGTTACAAATGCCATATTAAATGTATGCATTATACATTAGACAAGGCCAATCTTTTATGTGAGCTAAATACCTATTTTCCAATTGAATTGCAATCACCTTTTTTTAATGCCAACGCATTTATTTTGCATAAAAAGAGAACTGGGTCGGCTGGCCATAGTTGATTGCAATGCAAACACATTTAGCAGAAGTTATCAACTATTTTCAAATAGTATGATTATGTGCATTTATTGCAGTATTTAATCTTAATTTTTTACACATCTCATTATTTTCACATTTTTGCTGCAGCACAACGAGTATTTTAAGTGCCAGCACAACTTTTGGTGTTCGAAAAACAAACCGTTTGGCAGTTTGCATGTGACGGCAACATTTAGCAGTCAGGCCATGTAATTACCAATACACACACACACACACACACACACGCACACAAATGACGTTACAACTCTGCGCACTTCCGCTTAAAACCTTTCACTTCCGGTTTGCAATGCAGCTAAAATGTGTACAACAACAAAAGAAATCTGCAAGCAGCAAATACTCAAACTTTTCGCATCGCATGTGGCACGCATAGGCAGCTTTCGTTGTGCTGTGTTAAGACCCGTAATAAAACAGAAAAAATATGTATGAATTCAGCAAAATATGTTGATATATTCGCGCCTGAAAGTGTGCCACAAGTATCGAACTCACGGACGGGGCCACATAGCATTATCGCCTGTGAGTTACGGCGAAGCAAAAAGCAATCAATTTTTAATTTGGGCTTAATTAAAAAATGCAGCCGTGCCGTAATTTAAATTGTGATCCGCCTTATGGACGCAATGAGCCGCGTCGTGCTAGCAAGCAAAAGGTCGCTCATGTCAATAATGTACTCGGACGATGTCGAAAGCTAGCCGGCGCTTAAATGACAGCAACCAAAATCTGGTTTTGTTGCAATCAATCATGGTCGGTGACGGCGCCAGTTCTAGGCACTGACACCATTCCGCGCAAAACAGCATCAGCTGCGTCAGCGGTAATTGGAAATAGGTGGCGTTCAGATGACGTGGTCAGCGCCAACTCACGTCGCCACCACTGTATTGTGGTTGCAGCTCAAAGGGTATCACATGACGCGATGTGTCGAGCTCTGTCCTGTTGATGACTTTATTAGCGTGCCACGCGCTGCATGCATTCAAATAATGAGCATTCGATCAACGAGCAACTAACGCTTGAGCGACCGACCAAATATGGTTAAGCGTGACATAATTACAATTTATTTTCGGCACAACAAACGCACTTCGACAAATCTATGCGGTGAGTCGCTGGCCTTATGGATACCTGTTGCCAGAGATTAAGTTTCAAATAGGTTAGCTTTTGGCCAACCTGGCCTAGCTTTACCAAATTATGGGCCATCAATTATTCGGCGTGCTAGCTCGAGTGAGCCATTGAAAAATTCCATTAACGTTAATGCAAACGCGCCTGTCGCTAAAAACGCCACAAACACGAAATTTAATAATTCTAATTTGTTAAATTTATGAAGTTTATTACTTGTTTAATAGACATAAATGCTGGCATGCCATGAGGACCACATTGTTTTGAATCCATCGTTCCAGAACCGGCAACTACCCTGCACAACACAACACCACGCACCAGCACCAGCAGCAGCAGCAGCAACAACAGCAGCAGCAGCAGGAGGCAGCAAAATAGGTACATTCGTGCATAGAGAAATGTTTATTTTTCCCTCTTACTTGACGACATCTTTATACACTACAACAAATCGTATATATATAAAATATATATAAGAATATAAAATCTCTGTTAAAAGAAAATTCAATATTTGCAATGTGCAGCATTAAAATTGAAACTATCATAAAAGTTTTCAGCACTTATTTTGTTCAGTGTATATTCACTTCGTTCATTTAGTTGTGAGCTTGGATTTTTTCATGGTTTTTTGTTTCAGCTCGCATCTCATGACTTTCTCCGCAGTGGGGATATATATATACATTTTTTTGTTATTTTCTAACGCGACATCATGGCGCAGTTGGAGCTTAGGTTAGCCCGGGAGTCCGTAGTTGGCTACGTGCGGAAATGTCTCTAAATTGTGTGTAAAAATTTTGGTTTCTCGTTATTTGTTTTATTCTCTCTTAGCACGCGGCGACACCACATGGCCCCCGCAGATAAGACTAAGTAATTGATGGACACTGCGAAAGTCAAATGCAAACCAAAATGCTTTTCCATAGTGCACTACATAAATAAACATATGCATACATTAGCTGAAAGTACATAAATAAAGACATCTTTGCATTAACTAGATCTACACGAATTCCGCTCTTCAAACAAAGAGAAAGCGTACATTCATGCCGACATCTGGCAGTGAGTCATGTAAGCAGTTAAGGCTCTCATGCATTGATTATCCATCATTATGCTCTTACGACATTTTCCCTTATGTTATGCTCGTTTCCCTTTCCCTTTTCTCATTTTTCCAGGATTCATTGTTCTCCCTTCTCTTAATCTGCAGTCAACGTCTTTTTTCTCAGTCCCACGCATCACTTCTTTAAGGTGCTTTTTAAGCTACTCTTTGGCTATTTGAAATATCAGTTAATAACTTGTTCCTATGTATAAACATTTGAACATCCATTACTAAAAGTTAACTCAGGTCAGCGAATAAATGCTAACACAATTAAGAGCTTCATAGTTACATACAAGCTTATGCACATAGCATTAAGTAAGGCTTTTAAGAAGTAGCTTTTAAGCCACAGATAATTACCGATAGTTGGTATAAACTGCACCTGAGGTTTTTAGCCTTTTGCCCCAGACTCGCTTAGACTTGCAGTACGAAATTGAGACATGTTCCTTAACTACATTTTGCGGTTTGCTTAAGGGGCACAATTTTGAAGAGGATGGGTGGGTGGCATAGGGAATGTTCTGCGTCCAAAAATTCATGTACTGTAACGAGCCGACTATGTTTGCTTAAAACTTATCAAGGCCATAGCAAGTGGATAGCTGAGAGCAGCGAACCACCGCAAACAGGCAGCAAAATGCTTGAAGCTGCATTGATCTGGCCCATCTCAGAGCATAGTCAACTCTTAAAGCCACTGTCGATTCTGTTTACCCTCTGCACAGGGCTATCAGAGCCACATGCACTCTGTGTGCATAGAAGTGTGTGTGTTCTCGTAGGAGAGTTTGCTGGTCAGTTCACTTGATTGGGCAATTTGCAACTGGGTATTGTCTAAGCGCCCAAAAGCTGATGGGTAAATTAACTGACACACATCGCATTTTGTGTTTGCTTTTTCTATGTGCCCCACAATGCCCATAAGAAATCAGAAAAGTGAAAAAAGCTTATTAAAGTGCTACAGCCGGTCAGTTGGATTTAGTTTAAGTCAGTAGCTTCTACCAACGCAGCAAAGACTACATCAAAACTCTTTCTATTGCGACAATTATCTGAGCAGATGTCCTATTTGATGCCAAGTTCCGGCTATTGCTCTTATCAATATTTATAGCTGCGTGTGGCGTGTGGCACTGGCTTAGCAATTAACTCTGCAAGTGTGCTATGCAAACATGGAATCGACAACGGCAACGAACATAGCCACATTGACTTATGGATTGACAGCAAATCCATTTGTATTCGTTTCATGTTTGAGGCTTTAATATTTTGCTCTAATCGGAGCTTTTCGAATTTTTAGTTTAGTAAATCAGATGCTTATGTCAAAGGCGAATGCTTTCAGCTTTTTAATGTGGAATTACAGATGCGAGAGCCTGGCAACTTTGAGCAAAACCATAAATTCTAACCGAGTGCTGTGAGTGCATGGCGTAAAATGGCGAGCACCGGGCTATCCGTGGTCATGCCCAGGCGCAACTAAAAGCTGTCAACAAGAGCAAAATACAATAAATATGCGCAGCTTATGATTAATGATTTACGCCAGGCGAAAGAGGGAAAAAAATAAATACAAAAGGGAAAGGAGCAAAAAACGCCTAAAACTGTGCGAGCAGCTTGTGCGCCTAAGAGCAGGCAACGTCCAACGTCAACAGCCAAGGGCTATGGGGCTGCGGCTTTCAGTTTGTTTAGCTTTACAGGCAGCGTAGCGTGTATTAAGGGAATTAAAATGTTATTATATAAAAGAAAAGTGAGGAGGCCCCAGGACGAGGGCTGCGGGCGGGTAATGTTGGGGTGCCAAGTGGCTGCCGCTGAGGCCAGCCACTGATCCCGGATAACGACGCGATAATCACACGCCAGCACAACCTGTACAGTCAACACGGCTACTGCATGACAGACAGTCAGATAGACATAATAACAGGCAGGCAGGTGACTCGTACATAATTCTCAATTTTTACTTTTCTCCTCCTTTGTGCAGAACGTAATTTTACGGTTTTGCATTCTATGTTAGGACTGGGGACAACAACGGCTCCAAATGGAATTGAAGGAACTCACTTGCTTAAATGAAAGCCACCCGAGCAACCTTTGGACCTGATCCAATTTTAATAAGTTCGCTTGCTGCTTGGCAGCCACTCAGCGCATTAAAGCAAATACCTTAACGCAATTCAATTTTAATTTTAAAAATAAAAAAATCAATTCGATTACTAAATTTGGGAATTCGCAGAACAAATATACATATATAATATTGATTTTCATGGATATAGATGCAGGGCTTAAGGCTTAAATTTACAGATTTAATTTCAGTGTCATTAGCATTGAGAGTAATCAACTTTAATTTGATTATAAATACATCTGTAATCAAACTACTTTTCCTTTTAATTAAATATATAATTTTATGCTCCAGGCATAGTGAAGGCAATCCACTTGCCTATATCATCGCACGCACAAAGGTAAACAGCTGATACGAAAACTTTAAGATCTGTCAAGAAGGTATACAAAGGAGTTTCATCTATAGAAATAATTAAATTAGCTTACGGCCATATAGGTAGCCATGGAAACGGGCGTAAATTTGTAAGCGCGCAGCACTTGCGACTCACAGGAGCGCATCATAAAGAAGAGCAGCATCTTCCTGTAGACCAAATCACCTTCGTACCAATTGTTGTAAAAGGCAGCCGGCAAAAGTTTGTCGCTCTGTAGGAAAATCTTTGAATATGCTTGTGCTTTCAGAGCAAAAACTTACCGCAGAAGTGAACTCGGTGCCATTGTAGCAGATGAAAAGTGTAAATACCAAGAATGAAAGCAGCCCGACAGAGTATTTAAAGGTTGAGGCCAGACTAATCATGACCATGGCAAAGCCCATCAGGCAAATGGCAATGGTCGATGTTGTAAAGTTGATCAGGAACGTAAAGTTGAAGATTTGATTGATTCTGTTAGCAATGCACAGCAAGCGACTATGATAGGAAATCAACGTCTTCAGTTGTTCATTAGCACCGGGCTGACTAGCATCTAGGTAGCGAAGGCCATTGGCCAGAGCATCGAAATGCAGCTGCATTTGCGTAATGAAAAAGCAAAGCAAGAACTGGCTCGCCATGATGAATGCGACGCCCACCAGCGACGAGATGGCCTGGCAGAGATATGCTGTCATAAAGCTTGCTGATGAGCGCGGATCGGACATTAGTAGCCAGGGATACCAAGTATTGCTCTGGTATTTGTATCTGACATGCTGCGATTCGGAGAGCAGCTCATACAGCAGCTCCACCACGGGCAGTGCATTGTAGTAGGCGTAGGCGGAGATGAAGAAGATGGCTGTGTATCTCATTAGGCGCGTCGACTTTTCATAGTAATGGGCAATGCGATAGATTCGGCTATGATTATCCTGCGCGGGATACAGCTGCTGCAGCTCGGATAGTATGGACTCTATATCGCTGCGATGGTGCATCAGCATCCACATATTGCAGGCACCTACCAACGTGAGGCCCATCACGCTGCATGTTTCTGAAATTTGTGCCACATACGCGCCCAACTGCTCGTCCGGTGCCTCGGCCAGGAACAGATAGATGACCATGCCCACGTTCTGATAGATTAGATTCAGTGCGCCAAATTGAAACCACAGACGCTGAAACAACGTCTGATGAACACGAGGCATTTGGCTGCCATTCCACTCATAGCGCCGCATCATAACCAATCGACAGCCAATGCTCGGATAGTGCATGAAATCCTGCAGCTGCATGTTGAACGAATCTAAAGGTTATTGCCAGGCTGTCCAGTTAGCGCCCGCTTTTATAGCTTCTGATGTGGGACTGCGGCATTTGGCGAGTAATCAAAGTACTCATTAAACAATTTTCTCGGCTTTGATATTGAGCAATTTGCTTAGGTTCCGGGCAATAAAAAAAGAAACGACACTATTTAATGAGCTCCTGGGAATAAGCATCTGATCGATTGGATTTACGACTGACACAAGTAGCCGTGGTACCTTCGCTGCTCATCAATTCTCACAAAAAACCATTTAGGTTTTCGCAACTTGTCCCATTTGCATGAACTTTTAGTCAAGGCTGCAAGCACTTTAAATATTAATAAAAAAGGCGAACCAAAGTACTTTTAAATATTTAATATTTCTATTTGCCGAACGGTAAGTGTTCAAGTTTCGTCTCTTCTGAAAAATTGCAAAAGTTGTGAGAGCACTGTGCAGATTTATCACCGTTGTTGCTTTTGCCCTGGCTAAAGTCAGATATCTGCCATAATAGAAATGTAACTGGCCGCCATCAGTTTGGCTAGCACGGCAGGATATGAAATGGAGGTGCGAAATCCGAGGATGAGCTTGCACTTGGCCTGGATTAAGTACCAAACACAATCAAACGGAACTTTAAGCTAACTGCATTGAGGCTTCTGCAAATGGCACTTTAAAATGCAAACTTATATAATTTATAAGCTTAGTTCAACTGTCGAATATTCAACTATTTAAATACATTTGGCAGCTGCTGCCTTTAGCCAAGATAAACCAGAATTGGGAAACTTGAAGGCATCATTTGCACTGCTTCTATTAAAGCGATCAGGTGTGTTTGCTTGCCTGCATTTATGGCTGTAAATATGTTTTTATGTGCTTGTGCGTTGTCGTTTTGAGGCACTGTCTACATCAAGAAGCTTCTGACAAGCAAATAACGAAGACAGTCGTTTGTTTATTTCTTTTATATTTGTGTCAACCTCATAATGTGATGCCTTTAAGCCGGCTATCAGTCTTTTATATTTAGCCCGCTGCTGTTGCCAGCAGCGCTGGCTGGCATTATTGTGCGTCTATTTCGTTCCCTGCATGGGTGTGTGTGTGCACACTCCATTTCCGCCGGAAGCTTTGTGGCAAACAGTCAGATTCGGCGTGCACTCGTATATGTTTCGTACTTACCGCTTGATGCCTTGTTTATTTCTTTGTTTATGGCCATTCCTGTTTTTATGGCTGCCTCCTTTCGGTTGTTTCTTCTTTTTTCTTTTTGCAACGTCCCACCGCAACTTTCTGATTGTCGCTTTTATATTTATGTGGTTTGTACGGTCGCGCCTCATATGGTAAGTCTGTGTGTTGGCTGACGGGAGTGTCTGTGTCTATGAGCATTCCTTGGCTTGGCCCTTTCGCTTTATGCTTCAGTTATTGTGTTTCTTTATCCTTGTGAATTCGTTAGTGTTTATTGTTTTCTGTTGTTTTTTTTTTGCTGCGCGTCACCTCTCGCCGTTTGCTTGTTGTGGTAATTAAACTTTGATTGCTTTTAAATTGTTTTTATTGATTGACAGAGTTAGCGTCTATTTTACCAAACCGCTGCTTCCTTCTAACGAGTTCTGCTTGATCGACAATTCCACTGGAAATTCATTTGACATTTTCCTATTGATAGCTATCGAAAACAATTGTTGCTGTCATGTCGAAAGTCTAATTGAACTAACAAGTGCCGAAACAGTTATTTAATATGGAGTGCAGACGTTCTGTGACCTGCTTTCTCTACCTGAGCCTCGTGCGCTTTAATATACATACTTATATTTTTTCTTGATCCAATTGGGCAGTTGCAATTTTTCGCATTATGTAAAGCGAACTGATGCTGTTAGCTACTTTGGACGCCATTTGGGCAGCAATTTGTGCTCGGCGCGTGCAGGGCCAAGACAAACTGAACGCCGAGCATTTGGCAACGGCAACAATGTTGTTCTGGCCAAATAGACTTGCCCCATAGATAGATCTCGAGTGCGGCACGTACACAACGTCAATTGCCAGGACTCAGCTGAAACTCAAGTCGAGCGGCAGCTGCGCGAAATAGACAATCTAAATTATAACCAAGTGAAGGCGGCCGGGCAGACACAACGGCTATTGAAGGTGGCGGCGTGAGTGTGAGTAATAGTTTTGGCTGGCAGCGTGTCCGCGTGGAATTTATGGACGCAGTCCAGCCAAATGCCACTTGCCTGGTAGTCACTTTGAATACTTGGCAGCCAATGGCAGTGGCATTCATCTTGGCCACTGACAACTGTAAAGAAGTGCGTCCAACTGTTGGATTTATCGATCCGTTGGAGGAGGGCAGCCTTTTAAACTAATTAGGCTTGGAGCAACACTCGTTCACATCCGTGACCGACACATGCTACTAATTTAGAGGAAATTTCTGAAAATGACGCGCTTGTTTTTGGCCGCAGCTTAAATAAATTGCCAAAACACTTAGATTGGGTTTGGTTGCGCCGACAGCAAGCGTATGACCCATTTCAGACCTTGGTCAGCAGCTATAAATTCAATCGAAACTAAATTTCTAGCGGCAACTTTTGTTCGTGTTGTTTACAAGATTTTCGAGACCCTATCCATTTTCCCCCCACATATATCACCTTCACCCGCTCGCCAATAAAGCCCGAGCGGCCAAATTTATGTGCATCGCCGATGAAAATTAAACGGGGTTTACAGCTTGCGAGCAGCACAGCTGCCTCTACATTCAACTTTCCAACTATTCTGCACAAATAGCGTGAAAAATAGAGTTTACTGCCGTCGGCAAAGAATTTGTAAATTAAGATTAATTATTCCATTATTTAAGCAAGAATTTATTTACTTTTACGACTGCAAGCTGTGCAATCTTACGCAGCTAAGCTTTCAGCGTATTTCGGAATTTTGTTACTTTTTATTCTTTACAAATCTACACTCTCTTATACCAGACATAGCGGACGACAAGCATATCATTTTACAATGAATACATCCAAAAGTCGATTGCCACGCTCGCTAACAGAAAGCATGAATCTATTTAATATTTATTGGTTCTCTCGACACAAAAAGATGTTCTCTTGCGCTTAGCTTAAACGTAAACAATACACTATTCAACTCTCTCTCTCTTACTCTTTCTCTCTCACTGTGTCTGTCCCTCTATTCATCTGTTGCTATTCCTCTCTCCCTCTAGCTCTGAATTGCTTATGTGCAAATATTCTTAGTAAGCGCATATGATCTGAATCACCGCCTGGCTCTCTCGCTCTCTCTCTCTCCCTCTCTGCCGCTTTTCCTCTCTCTATTTTAACTTGTGTGTAGCTTGTGAGGGCTTCATTCATTTACGTTTACGTTTTTTTACTGTTTGTCCATTTAGTTTTCGGCTAATCGCGAGTCAGTTGACATGCCGTGTGCTTCGTATATAAGTGAATCAAACTGTTAAATGCATTTGCTGATATAGATATATATAGCTTATCAATATTGATATCTATTATGTACAGGTGACATGTGTCGTGCAATAAAGTTATTGGATTATTAGTCCAATTTAATTTATTTTCAATTTCCTGGTACTAAACTGATAATTTCTTGTGAAATAAAATTCAAAATGTATGAATCAAATCTAATGCAACTGAATAAAAATTGTATTTTTGAAATAATAAAACAGATTAAGAAAAATTGTGAAACATGTAAAAATCCAAACAGATTGCATATATCTAAATACTCTGATCTCGTTAGTTTTGCGCTTGCCTGTGAGTGGTTTCGCGATGTTTTCTGGCTGTGGAATCCAAGCTTTTATGGCAGCCTTGAAATTGACCAAGCTTATTTAACAAAATCCTCTGAAATCATTGTTAACTTTAACAAGCAATACGAGCGACTGAAGAAATCAGCGCAAAATGATAAAAACAGATTTTGGAATATGTTAATCGCTGCAATAAAATCGAATAACTCCCTAGAAAGAATCCGTATAGTATATGTATCGAATGCACATTACAATGAGCATCAGGACAATGGAATATTCAAAATGCTCATACGAGGTCTTCAAAGCAAACCCACACTGAAGTCATTACATATTGTTATGGAAGGTAAGTTTTTGTGCACATTTAAAGTCAAGTTTTAACAAGTGTATTTTTTTATTTCATTCCCAGGATCTAATTTGAGTTGTGTTCAACATTTTCCTAAGGTTGAGCATCTTGTTTTAAAGGCAACCGTTAGTGCCACGGAGTTGGCTGAGTATTGCGTATCAAATCCAAAATTGATCTACTTAGAGATCAACAATAATATTTACGGAAACTTAACTGAGTTTCTTCCTCATTGCAATCAGATGCAAACATTAAAATTTACTATAAAAAGTGATTTTACTGACTCTGAATATATAGCAATAGCTGAATTACCAGAATTGTGTGAGTTGTCAATTCGGGGAGAACACAAAATTGGTTCCCTGAATACACTTATTAAAGCACTAGCTAGAAAAGAACCCAAGACGCTTAGAAAATTGATGATTAGTGGAGCATGCATTGACATTGAAGAAATTACGGAAATGCTACAAATACAGTCATTAGAATATTTTGAAACCAATGGAATTGAAGGGCTTTCTATAATTGTTAACTCAATACGGTTCGATCAAAAGTTAGCAGATCTTACCTTATACTTTAACAAAGAAGTGGATGCTACCGACGTGGCTGCTTTGCCTAATGTAATAAATTTCTCTACTTTATTACTTGTATCAAATCACAAGATCGGAACTTTAAAAAAACTCTTTGAAACAATAGCATTACAAAAATCACCGAAACTGAAACGATTAAGATCAACGTCATCTGCGAATTTTGAAAATAGCAATAAGAATGAAAGTGATCTTGATAAGCATTTTGCTGCAAGTGACAAAATTACAGCCCTTAATAAGGAGGAGTTGATTGAGCTTTTAAAAATAAAATCATTAGAAGTTGTAGATTGTTCAATCGATGATTCAAGACCAATAGAATTGCCTACCCAATTGGCTCAAATCGAAGAATTGTGCATTAGAACTTGCGCTGGCGGATCCTTGACCAATCTCTTCCATGCGTTTGCATTGCAGGAATACTCAAAACTTAGCACATTATGCATTGAGGGACACCACCTCAATTGCGACGATGTTACTCAAATTGCGAAGCTAAAGTGTTTAACTTACTTAAAATGTGGATTTGCTGACTTAGAAAACATACATTTGCTCACCAAGATAAAAACGCTAGAAATACTTGGGATAAACTCTCGACATCAGCTTAAGGAAAGCTCAGAAAATATATTAAAGCTTTTTATTTCATTTAATGGTAATTTAAGTATATATTATGCGGATGTCATAAGTATGGATAAAAACCTGCGAGCGCTAACAATACAAATGAGTGAAACTATCTGCTCTGAAGATTTAGTACCCTTAACCAATTTGCCCAACTTACCGAATTTAATAATAAGTGGACGACATACTCTGGACTCCCTGACCCCACTGCTGACAGCGTTTGCTTCTAATCAATCAACGGCTCTTCAGGAGATATGCATTGACATTGATTCCCTATGCTATAACGAGTTAGTCCAAATTTCTCGAATCAAATCATTAAGATATCTAGAATGCGGTTTCTGCGACCCCCGAAGTATTAAGCTCTTAGCAGAGCTGCCAAATCTTGAAAACTTGCGCATCAAATCGCTGCACGATCTACATGAGATTGCGGAAGGCGTCTTGAGTGTTCTTCAGGGATGTGCAAATGAAGTAACTGTCATTCGAGATTATCGAGAGATTTCGTTTAATAAAAATCTGAAAAAACTTACAATTTCAAACACTTCTTACGACAATGAAATCCTTGACGCGCAGGAGTATGCGCTGCTAGCTAAATTACCTCATTTGAATGCGCTCCATATACAAGGAGAGCACAAGCTTGGATCATTCGAAAGCTTATTCCTGGCTCTTGTTGCAACAAAACAGTCAGCTCTTGAGGAAATATCTATAGTGCGAAACAGTATTAGTGAACAGTTTTCAAAGCCCACGATCAGCCCTGAAGAAACTAAGGCAATTTCAAAAATATTGTCTCTGAGGAAACTGAAATGCGGATTCTTAGATGCGAATAGCATTGAGATCTTGGCCCAGCTAACAGAGCTTCACGAACTTGTCATAACAACTCATAAGCAGGGCTCTCTTATGCAGTTCCTCGAATCTCTATCCTTACGACACTCATCGAATCTTCAATCTTTGGTCATAGAAGAAAATGAACTTACTGCTGAAGAAACTATCCAAGTTGCACGGGTCAAGTCATTAAGGAGACTGGAATGTGGATTTGTTGGACAAAATATTGAATGTCTAGCTCAGATGATTCAACTCGCAGAACTTACTATAAAGTCGCTGGAGAGCGATGCATTGTCGCAGTTAATTAGAGATTTGGCTTCTAGAGGGCCAAGAAAATTTCATCTCTTGAATATTAAATCTACGCCCATAGGTTATAACGACTCTATAGCTCTTGTAGGCATTCGAACATTACGAAGTTTGCATTGCACATTCATGGATAATAGGAGCTTGGAACTACTAGTTCAATTACCGGAGCTTCAAGCTCTTGATATTCAATTTAATCAGTCTGTTGACGAAAACATCAAGTGCCTGGCAAAGTTAAAAATGTTAAGCTATCTTCAAATAGCATCACCAGCAGTCGGATCTCTAACGGCTCTTTTCAGAGAGATGTCGTTAAGGTCAAAGCCTATATTATATAAACTGGATATTACAGACAATGACGTCGGAACAGAGGAGCTTCAGCAAATTATTAAAATCAATTCTCTTCGAAGACTCAAATGTGGATTGAGTGAAGAGGAAAGCTTCGAATACTTTTCGAAATTGAGAAATCTAGAAGTGCTTGAAATATGTTCGTACCATGACCTTAATGAAATTTCTCAAAGTCTGTTACTGATTTTGAAAAAGTGTCGGAAATTAACAGATATTAATTTTCATTACGGAACACGATTTATAAGTCTGGAGTTTGTTTGTAAAGCTTTAAAGATTCTCGAAGTAATTAGGTACCCGCCAATCCAATATCCATTAGAGTTGCGTGTTCCATACTTTGGAGACTTAACGCCGGAACAAGTAAGCATATAAACTATATCATGGAGTATAATGTAGCATAAATTATTTATTTTTTCCTTTTTTCTTTATATTGCAGATTGCTTTAGCACCTGAATTGTACTTGAAAATATCTAGATTTAAGAAAGAATCATAAATAATTATTTGTTAAAATACATTATTTTGAAAATTAATAATATAGTAATATATATTAATAATAATACATATTAAAAACTGGAAAAATATTGGTTTTAATCGTTCAAATCAATTTGTCAAATTTGTTAAAATTAGAGCTACACAATGAGCTCATTTATTTATCAACAAGCATTTGTACATTGGGTAGCCCAAGTACTCCTTATTCTGATTAAAAACGTAAACAATACAAATATTAGTCTGTCTCTCTCTATATCTTTATCGGCTTTTGTTTTTACTTGCTTCTATACAAGTATTTTTGGGAGCTTATGTGATTTCTTTATAATTTTCATTCTCCCTCTCTCTCCCTCTGTATGTCTGAATTTTACTCTCTCAGTTCGTTTGGGCTTTACCCACACGTTTCTACACAGTTTAATTAGTCTTTAGTCGTTTTAGAATACAATTCTCATGGTATATTATACTATACATTTACATACATCTATGTGTCATGCAAAACAATTAATTCTAAATGCATCTAAGTCAACATTTGTTGCAATTAATTACTTTTAAAGTGCAGTTCACTCCAAATGTTTGAGGCAACTGAATAGTTATTGTCTTTTTGAAATATTAAAACGAATCAAAATCAATTGTGAAACGCCTAAAAGAACAAATAAATTGGAAATATTTAATTATGCATAGTTCGTTAGTTTTGCTCTTGAGTGTGAAAGGTTAAATGGAAGTCTTGAAATTTAAAGTTAAGCTGATATTTAATTCAAGTAGAAAATATCACTCATGAACTTGTTGGAACCTATTTTAATGCTGAGCCTTTTCCAATTACTTAAGAATAAATTTTAATTTGCTAAGTTTATTAGTGAAACATTTCAGTTTGCACTCAGCGAAAAGATTCCTTTCAATTTTTGTAATTTAATTCAACATATTTCATGGACAACGACAAACAACAATTGAGACTGGGAAAAGTAAAAGCAAAATAAAAGAAAGGAGGAGGTTGCTTTGATACTTATTTGCGCACCTCTAGATGGCAATTAATTTCAGGCTAATTAGGTGATGAAGCGCCTTAAAGCAGCCAGTCCACGCATTCGCTCGGCAGCTGTAGGGACATTTTTATACAGATCAAAAGAAAGGCGTCTATAGCTTATATACCCTTTTAGTGAAATCTAACGAGCATGTAAATCACGCACCAGCACGTTCGCAAACAGGCTTACACACAGATAAACATACGTCAAGCATGGAATATATACACATATATATATACTATATACAAGTCAAGGCATAAATCACAATTTCTTAGCCATTAAGACGAAACCGCAAAGATTTGCGGCACTTCTAAAGTTGATGATGAAGCGCAAGCAGCGAGCTTTGGTTCCCAAACACCATGAGCCCTGAATTCAAATGGGCGAGAGTACGAAGAATGTGGAAAGGACACCAAAGAAGGCACAAACCTCGAACACTGCCGCAAAACTAAAAGTTTTACCTAAAATATTATTGATGATACAAATTATTTCCAGAAAACAATGTAAATTAAGAGTGTTTAATAAATTTATTATTATTAACATATAGAAAAATGTGCATTTGATATAATAATATTAATATATTTATATATTTCAATATATATTTATAAAGTCTGAAATGAATTTTATTTATGTGCAATTGCTGTTTTAAGAAAAATTTCTTTCAGTGTACTGCCCTTAGTCATGGCTCAACAATTTCTCGCTTGTTGCTAACAGGACAAGAGCTGTCACGACATTTAGTAAAAGCCAACGGAAATATTTGGCATTGCGATCTAGGATACATTTGGGTTGGGTTTCATATATTTATATATCATATACATAAGTTTATTTACAGTTCTGTTTGGTTATATAAGTTCAACACATGTGGGAATATTTTTTCGCAGTGCAGCTGAAAAACGCTTTAAATCACATGTTAAATTAGCTCCTTTATGATTTGTCGGAATTTTCTTCTATTTTTGATCTTAAAGCATGCCTTAGCTTTAACTTTGTGAAGACTTTAATTTGCTTTCACTTTACCAAATAGCCGCAAATAAATTCCGGCTACATTCTTTTGGCGGCATGAGCCAAGAGCAACCAGTAAATTACATTTGCACGACGCTCCACCGACCCGCTAACAAATTGCTATGGCATTTTGCTTGGGCTGAGTTGGCTGCTTATAAGTAGGCAGCAGTTGGTAGGCACCTAGCTACCTGCAATTTTCTTCACTTTATTTCACACTTGGCCCCGAACAGAAAACACATAAGGTGTGTCCATTTTATCTTGTTGGCCCCAAAAAGCTGTAACATCGAGTGAAAAACTTTTCTCGCCTGTTTTTGCTTTTGCTTTTAGTTCGCCTACTTAGTTACTTACCAACGACCCAGTTACACTTTCTAGCACTTTGCGCCACCTGCCCATGCGTCTGTGTGTCTCAGTGTCTCTCTGTGTGTGTGTGTGAGTGTGTGGGTGTTTGGCTATATGTGAAGTAATTCAACTATTGCGGCTGCATTTGTTGCTGCCAGGCTGACAACAAGATAAATTAGGCGAAAGTAGTTTGGACAACTGGGCGAATGCGTTACGTGGCTCCAAAAGGAATTCGTTATATTTTTAAGATGCCCAAAACGCACTTTAACTAATTTTTTTTTGGCAATTTCTGAAATGTATATAACAGCCTTAGTCGGAATTTGTTTATTTGAAATTGTATTACCGCTCATGAAGTCTAAAGAGTATATTAGTTCGGTGCAAAACCGTCGGACAAATGTCCGTCTGCCGAAATTAAGGCAAGTCATTTGGACACTATTGAAGCTAGGGACACGAAGTTAAGAATGATAGAAAGTGTAGAAAGTGCCGTTACCTTTCAAGAAATTCTAAAATTAGTATAATAGAAACGCTAATAGTTTAGGGGCTAAAAAACTACATCTTAGATATATATAGTGACCTCTTCTCAAACAAATATTAAGGTCCCATCGGGCGCATTTGTAGACCGAGCCCCAAGAGTTTCGAGCACTTACACAGTTTGACCTATAAATGAACCGAAAATATGGATTTTTGAATGCATTAAACTTTTTTTTATCTGCGGCACACAACAACATTCTAACTGGTTTTTATATCATTTTATATGACAATTTATTTGATTTAATTTTGGTCTAAACAGTTTGTTTGCTCAGCTCTTAACTTTCTTAATGAAAGCCCAAGGCGTATTTAGTCGTCAAATATTTTTCATATTTACACACTCGTCGCACTATGCCAAAATGCACAAAAATAAAGTAAATACTTTCTCAAACTAAACTAGCCGAAACTTCTGAAGTGTTTACTCGGGCATTCAAGGCGACTTGCAATGCAAATGATATTCATTCGAAATGATTTCACCTTTGATTCCAGTTGCTTGTTGACTTTTGTGGTGTGTGCAGCGGAGCTTTAAGGCAATTGAATAGCCGAATTTGAATTTGCAAAATCTGTAATTAAAAACGACCTATATTTCAGTGCATATTTTTACAGTTTTCAGGATTGCAGCTTATTATCCTTGCAATAATAGCGCAATTGGCTGCTTTGTGCCACTTTGTTGCACAGGTAGAAATAATTTTCAGAAATTATATATGACCACTTAAGTTGTCATTAACGTTAACGACCTGGCCAAGTAGCAACGGGCGAAAAAAAAGGAAATGAAAGAAGAAAACTAGGCATGTTGAGGGCATTATGAAATGCTTAACAGCCCGGCTAAGTGGCAGGCCGCAAGCTTGTGAATTTTTCGTTTGGCAGGGGCCCGCCAGTATACGGATTTGGTGGCCGTGCTTGTAGTGCTTGGGTAATCCAAAATTAATGGCCTGTCAGTCAGAGCCGCGACGGCACAGGCAACAGCCACGTGTTTGGCCTCTCGGCGCCTGTGTTGGCACGCTGCAATTTTGCCTCATTTCGGCTGCAGCTTGGGCACTTACAACTGCAAGTTCTGCTACATCCTGTCTTTGTGTAAATTTCCGCTTCCTTTTGGAAAGTGTTTCTTGGCTGCCAGCGTCGAACCAGTCCAGAGCCGCTTAATCGAAAACGTATGAATGTAGCACAGGCACAGACATGGCTCATTCCAGGCAGCAGGCAGAAGGCAGAAGGCAGCTGGCAGCGCGGCAGCAGGCATCTGCAGCCAAAGCCGCAACACTCACTGCACTTAAGTCCCTTTCATATTGCTCTTTTTCGACTCGTGTCCTCCCTCCATCGGTGGAGGACATAATGCTAGAGCAGCAGTCAAGTTATTACAAGCGCCAAAAAAATATTTTCACTTAAGTAGCTGCCACTATTTTGCTCAATTTATTTCAACATCAAGCTCTTTTTAATTTCGCACACAATTTCTGTGCAATATTTTGAAGTGTGTGGCTTCCATTGGTGTCCTTTTCAATTTTGCTTTTCAAATAAAGCCCCTTCAGATCTCACAAGCATTCACCCAGTGCACTGCACTGGCAAAATGATTTTCAATTATTGAAAGCATCTTCGTGTTTGAATTAAATATAAACTAAAAGTGTTTAATTCTAACACTTTAATAATATAATTAATACTGAAAAATTTGCTAAATTCTATCAAATATATTAATTTATTTCAACTAAGTTAAGCACTCTACAAAATGTCTCTTGCTCAGGGCTGGTCGAGTTTCAGAAAATCTTTTAATAAATTATTTGCCAGATGTGAAAATTGCACATGAATTTTAAAGTGGGCAAGTGAAATTGGTCAAGCTGAGAGTGTCAGATTCGTCAATACTCTGTAAATTTGATAGCAATATAGATTCTTGCCCGCTGGCATATCAGACTAAAAAATACAAATTTCATATGTTTATAATAAATACAATACAATTTCATGCTTTTTCACGTTCAATCAGTATTCGATATGAAAAAACTTGTATTGTTTTGCACGCATGCGAATTGTTCACACAACATTTTTTAGACATTAAATTGTATACGAAGGCTTTTTATGTTGCGGGCGACCATGTGAAAAATTGTGCATATTGAGGCGCCTAGCAGAGAGATTTACATATCTT